GTGGGGTAGACATTGGAAGTGGTGACACTGTGTGTGCCATGAGAGGTGGTCATGGTGGCCACAGTCACCTGCATTGTGAGATAAGTTTTGGAGGTTTCTGAGGTGGACACAGAGAACCAGGTGGGAGTGAGGGAAGCAGCACTGCTGGTCTGTGTGTGTGTCATGGTGGAAGGAGAGGTGACATCAGATGTGGAATGTGTGACACCACTAGAGGGAGAACTGGCTGAGGATATCTCTGATGACCCTGTAGACGTGGCAGTGGTGGTTGGGAGTGTGGTGACCAAGGGAGATGATGGGATGGTGTGCGTAGTGGCAGCAGTGACTGGGTGTGTGCCTGGGAATTGGGCAGAAGACTGGATTGTACTTGTGGGGGACATGACCATGTTGCTGGTCATGGCAGAAGAGCTGCTGGCTGCCATGGTTGAGGAGGGTGCAGATGTGGCTGGAGTCCCTGTTGCCAGGGAACCTGTTGGGGAGCTTCCAGAACTCATGAGATTAGTGGTCACGCTGGGAGTGGCGGTCAGGGTGGTGCTAGCCCGTGGTGTTTCTGTGTTCTGGACGGTGGGGGACAAGGAAATGAAATGGCTCTGGGTTGCTCTTTGGGTTGAAATGAGTCCTGTCCCCACAGAGAACAAGCCTGTTGTGATCTCACTTGAGTGACTGCTAGATGTCGGTGTTGTGGTGGAGAAACCTCTACTCGTTGAAGCTGCTATTACTATTCTGGAAGTTTCCATGGTACCTGAGGTGGTGGGAGCTGAGGTGATGCCAGTTGTGGACACGGTGGACCTCGTGTGGTTGGTAGTGGGGTTTGTGGAAGATAGAAGCGTGCTTTTTGGTATTGTTAAGGTTTCTGAGGCCACTGGTGGAGCAGTGTTGGGTTTCAAGGTAAGGAGTGTACCGGCCAGTGTGACAGTTGACATCCCTGGGGAGGAGGATATCTTTTCTGTGGTGGGAGTTTCTCTGGGAGTGTCAGCGATGGGAGTGTGTGTGGTTTTCCTGGACGTCATTATCATTGTTGGTTTGTCTGGATGAGTGTGTGTTTGCACAGAAGCCGAAGCAACAGGTGTTGTTAATCTGTGGGTGGCACCAGCTGAATGCGTGGTGGCAGTTTCTGTTTCAAATGTGCTGCTGGTGTTAGGAAACTGTGTTGTGACCAAACTACCCCTAGTGGTGGGTGATGAGGTGTTACTAGTGACTCTTGTTAGGAAGGTTTTTGTTGGCATTAGAGAAGGGACAGTAGCAGTCAGAGAGGTCATTCCTGGGGTTGGAGACTTGGTTGCATGGACACCTGATGGGGTCAGGGTATTCCATCCTGTGGTCCCCTTTATAGAGGAGGTCACAGAGTCCCTGGTGGTATCTGAGGTTGAAGAAGAGAAGGAGGGTATGGCCATTATCATGGAGGTGCTCCCCATAGTGGTAGAGGTCATGACTGAGGTCACCTTCTGGGTAGTGGTGACAGGGTAAGTCCTGGTGATGGTTGTCACTGGCTTCTGTGTCACGGGAGTGGTAGTGTATGAACCAGTGAGGGGCACTCTGATCCTGGTCATACAGGTGGTGGTGGGGTAGGTGGCGGTAAAGACAAGGGTCCTGGGATTTATACACTCAGTGGTAGACTTGTAGACAAAGACTGTAGGGGGCGTGGTTTCAACCCTGATGGCGAAGGTGGCCCCGGGGGTGGTGGAGGGGTTGGCATTGACTGGGGATTTGGGCCCTATTTCAGAACCGGCTTTGAGGTGAGTGGACATGAGAGGCCTAGGTGTGTTTCCTCTGTGGCCAGGCGTGGGAGGAGCTGTGTGGGGAGCACCCAGGGGCCCCCATGCTGCACCCCTGGAGCGCAGGGCAGGGTGGGCTGCAGCAGAGGAAGATGTGGCCGTGGAGAAAGCCCCTGTGTTGGCGGTACAGCAACAGAGAGGCCATGAGTAAATCTGTAGGACATTTGTCCTTGTCACAACACGTAAGTTAGTCACTCTCTCAGCTTCCTGACACATATCCCAGCTCCTTCCCTGTCAGGGGCAGTTTGGAGCTGGGGGCTTTGGGGTCCTGAAGCCCACCATCTAGAGGTCTGTCCCCGCACAGCAGAGGACACCCTCAGCCCCTTGCTAGGCGGTGCTGAGCACCCCAGTTCACTCCTCCTCCCTCCTCCACACCCCAGGGCCCTTCCCTTCCCCTCCTTCTTCCCCTTGTCCATCTGCTGCCCAGCGTCCTCCAGCCCCTCCTCCCCCACACCAGAGAAGGAGAGACAACTCTCAAGGCTGTGCCGGGCGAGGGAGCATGTCACAGAAATCAGAAGTCAGGGATCAGAGAGGGAGATGTGCAAAGAGGACCCCGAAGGGGGAAAAGAGATTGCAGCTCAGACTGTGCTGAGATTGAGGAACTGATACGTCAAGGAGCACAGAAAAGAAACAAACTCCCCAAAAAAGAGGAAACAGGAGCCATCGGGCAGGAGTTCTGAAGACCTAAGTCCTTGCAGTTAATTTTTTAAAAATGGACATTTTCTTACAGCTAGTTCTGTTCCAGCCACTGGGTTAACTAGTGTACCCCGTCGTTCTTTAGAGATCACCAACCCATTTTATACATGGTAATACTGAGGATCAGCGGTCGGCTGGGCTGGGGGTGAGGGGTGGGGGAGACAGGCAGGAAGCATCCCTCCCCCCTCCTGCCACTCAGCCACAGTCCTTCTCAGATGGGGACTTGTGGTGCTTCCTCCTAAGGGCTGGGTGTCACTTCTCAGGCTGGCTGGGGATGTCAGGGAGGTGGGGTGGAGGAATCATGAGGAAAGCAAGCCTGGGCCTCTTACAGCCAGAATGTGGCCCTGAAAAGGAGTGAGAGGCACAAACCTGGGTGGCCTAGGGTGGGTGGTCTCAGAGCCACCCTCTGGGTGAAACAAAGGGGACTGTATCGACCCCAGCCCTGATCACAGCAGCTAATGACCTGGCTGGGTTAGGGACATGAGGGACAGAACTGGAGAGAGAAGTAGAGAAACCAAAGGCAGAAAAGCCCAAGAGAGGGAAAGAGGAGCCGGGGACAGAGGATGGCCAGGACTGCAGAGGGTGCCGTCCCGGAGGTCCAGGGTGGGAGGAAGACCAAGGCTGGGGTAGACAGCAGCAGTGGGCATGAGGGGGACCAAGTCAGAGGAACACTGTCCCTGGAAGGTTCTGGAAGGTGCACTCCCACCCTCCAGATGCTGATAGAGAGTGCCCAGTCCTGCAGCCTGCTCAGCCGTTGGTCAAGAGCACAGCAGCTCAGCCGCCCTCCTGTGCACCCAGGGGGGACCACAGTGACCCCTCCTCAGCCCTCCAGTGTGAGCCTCAGAGCCACCCCCACTGCGCCTCAGAACAGCAGCTCCCTTCCTGCTCACAGTCCCTCTCACCTGTGGCCCCTGGGGAGGCCCTGAGCATCCAGAGGAGGCCGAGGAGCCTGAGCAGCAGCATGGACGGGTGGGCAGAGGAGCCTGGGAGCAGAGCAGGTGCCAGGACTGGGGTGGCAGCAGGGACACAGCCAGGGCCTGCACAGCAGAGCCCGGCCGGCCGTGGCTGCAACTGAAAGTGGTGATTACCTGCCCTGCTGGGCGTGAGGGCCAGCGTGTCACCTTTGCACAGCCCAGCCTTCCCCACCCCTTCTCCCTAATCCGGGACCTCAGCGCTGTGCAAAGAGAAGGGAGAAGAGGGGCTGAGACAAGCTCCAGGGGTCAGGCAGGGAGAGCTAACTAGGGCCCACCCCATCCGGCCAAGCCCACGCCAGCCTTTCAGTCCAAGGACGCGGCTTTCCTCCCTCCCCCTCCCCCTCCCCAGTCAGGTACACCTGGCTGAGGCTTGATCTCTGGAGTCTGGGGAAGCTTGCAGCCACCCCTTAGCATCAGCCCCACCTGCCAAGGACCCTCTCACCCCTGCTGCCCCCCTCTCTGCACCCCACCTCAGCTGGGCTCTGGGGCTGCAACCTCACATCCAGGTGACCTTGGCTTCAGTACCTAAAGGGGACACAGTTAGCAGTTCCTCTGCTCCAGGTGAAATGAAGGGGGCTGGGGGTGGGACCATCCCTAAGACCTTGGGATGAGGCTGTGCAGAGAGGAAGCCTGAAATCCCTTGCTTCCCAGCAGGCCCAGGGCTCAGAGGGGGCAAAAGGGTTGCAAAGGCAGCTGGAGAGGCCAGGCCCACTGGGAGGTCCTCCAGGGGCTATGCTGTCCTGACTCCTGGGAGACCTTGTCTAGATCCAGTCACTGGGAGGACAGGGGTCGTGAACACCCAGCACCCAACTCTGACTGGCACTTGTCACAGGCCTCATGGTAATAAAATTGGAGAATGTTATCTGCCCTGGCTTCAGAAGGCATGTGGTTCAACTGGGGATGTACCCAAAGGAGTAAAAAGAGCATCCAAGTGAAGTGGCGCCCACAGCCACACAATGACACCATTGCTGTGGCCCAGGACACAAGACTATTCTCAGAGTCCATTTGCCCAGTGTAAGACAGATGGTCCTTGACCCTACAGCCACCTGTATTCCACAGTATTCAATAAAGTACCTGAGAAATTCGACACTCTGGTATAAGGTAGGCTTCAAGCGAGATGCTTTTGCACCACATAAGCCAACCTAAGTGTTCTGAGCACACCGGAGGTAGGCTAGGTTAAGGTGTGATGTTTGATAGGTGAGGTGAATTAAATGCACTTTTGACATTAAGATATTTTCAATTTCCAGTCAGGCACAGTGGCGCACACCTGTAATCCCAGTGACTCGGGAAGCTGAGGCAGGAGGGTCACGAGTTCAAAGCCAGCCTCAGCAAAATCAAGGCATTAAGCAGCTCAGTGAGACCCTATCTCTAAATACAAAATAGGGCTGAGGGTGTGGCTCCGTGATCGAGTGCCCCTGAGTTCAATCCCTGGTACCAAAATACCCTGGGTTCAAACAAGGAAGTAACCCTACCAATAGTCAAGGAGAATCTGTATTTGTTTTCAAAAAGTCGTGTTGTTTTCCAGAGCAGTTTCCATGGAAACCACCAAAGCCATGTAGTCAAGCACGAACCAAGACACTGAGAACAACTGGAAAGTTGGGGAGTTTCTGCTCTATTTTTTCCCCCTTTTTAAACTCTCAGACACCATAAAATGCTCAATGTGATGCTGGAGCCACACTATGACGGGTCCTTGTTGAAACACAGGCTCCCTGGGACAAAGACTATGGTCCCCCACTCTGCTCCATTCCCCTCTGCTCACACCTTCCTTCCTGCTCCCACCAACAGGGCCCCTAGCTGCCCCCCCCCCATTCACCTCCTCTGGGCCTCTGCCTGAGCTGCTCTACCCCCAAGTACCCTCTGCACCTCTCTTCCTCCTCCTGACCTTCACACTCCGGGCCTTTCTCACCTTTACCAGAAAGCAATATATCAATCAGGAAGTGAACTCCTGCAATTCAGTGGTGCCGGTTACTGGTGGCTCCCCCATGGCACTTGACAGTTCAGCCATTTGAATGCCTGCCCACAAGGAAGAGGGGATCTCCCCTGTACTGTGCGCTGGGGCGGTGGCTGCTGTGTCTCTAGAGTCATGGTAGCACCATGGGGGGAGGAGAGGGCCGGTTAAGGCTGCTGCAGTCCCTCACTGCCGATGGAGGCGTGGTGGGGAGGCTGGAGAGCACAGCGGGCAGGGCCCTGTGGTGCAACACCCGCAGGAGCTGGAAAGCCCTGCTGAACTGCCTTTGTCTGGGCCGCCTCCATGCAGCTGAGGCCCAGACGTGAGCCCAGACATTAATACAAACCCAGCCGGAGCGGAGTGCCAGGTGAACCAGCAGGCTCCTTGGGAAGCAAGAAAAGGCAGAGGTGGGGAAACAGGGGCTGAGGATGATCTTCAGTGACACCCACTGCAGGGGCACCTCACAGTGCCTTAATCCACAGGCCAGGCAGTATGAAAGTGGGACTCCCGGGAAGTTAAAGGGAGGCACAGGCTTCTCTCGGAAGTCTGGCCATTCACAGGGACCTGGGGGAAGCTGCAGCCATTCCCCAAAAGCCAAGGTTTGGGGGCAAAGTGTTGAAAGTAGAGCCAGGAATGGGTCACCCTTTCTCCCCCCAAGGTGCGAGGAAGGGAGGAGGAGGCTGGAAATGTTAGGCCTGGATCGTGGCTGTGGATCTTGCCAATGGGATCAGGGTGGTGGCAGTTGACAGGCCCAGAGTTCTCTCTGAAGTCATGGTGGGTGGGGAGGGGGCTTTGATTTTCTTGATGGCAACTAATACTTGATTTTGAGACAAATGGAAGCCAGTGAGGGTTAGTATGTCAGTCAGGAGATGTCAGGTTATGCTGCGGTAACAAGTAGGCCTAAAAACTCAGTGGCTTACAACTACAAAAGTTTACTTCTCACTCCTGCTGCTTGCCCATCTCAATGCCTACCCTCTCCTCCATACTTCACTCTGGGACCCAGGCTGTTGGAGCAGCTTCTGTCTGGGATATTTGTCAATCTCACGGCAGTAGAAAATGGCAGGTGACAAAACCATCCCATGGTTCTCAAGGCTGCTCTCAAGAAACAACATGCAGGACTAAGGTTGTGACTCAGTGGTTGCCTAAAACGCTTGCCTAGCACATGTGAGGCACTGGGTTTGATCCTCAGCACCACATAAAAATAAATAAGACAAAGGTATTGTGTCCATCTACAACTAAAAAAAAAGAAATGACACGCACATTCCGACCCATGTTTTGTTGATCAAAGCAAGTCACCTGGTTCTCCTGCAGTTTGACAGGACAAGGAGATTAAAGACTATCAGTCAAATAGACATCAATCATGATATCAGAGGGGCGGGGAGGTCTAATCCACCCCAGGAAGGGAAAGCAAATAGTCCCAACAGCAACACAGCCTGCCACAGCTGGGATCCTGGCATGGTTATGGCTTATGCTATTCAAGATTCCACCAGGGGAGCTGGGCTGGGCTCAGGGGTAGAGCACGTGCCTGGCACGTTTGTGGCACTGGGTTCGATCCTCAACACCACATAAGAATAAAGTAAAGGCATTGTGTCCACCTACAACTAAAATATACATATATAAAGATTCCAACGGGGACACTGGCAGATAGGATTGAATCCTTGGTGAGTCTTAGTCAAAGCCAAAGTTGAGAGGGTCCTTTGAGGACAGAATGAGGAAGGATAGTTGGGGGTACTGGTAGGCTTGGCCCCAGTGGTCAAGGATGTTGAAGAACCTCAAGCAACACAGGAGGGGACACTCCTACATTGAACTGGACACTGGTCAATACAGGGTCACTTGTCAACACAAGAAGCAGAGATGATAACTGTCACTTCTGGTCACTTTGTAGAAGAGATGAAATGGTAATGGAAAGTTCTTTGGTACTAGTATGAGAAATAGGGCAACGTAAAAGATAAGAATCAATTTGCTGAGGAATTTATGCACAATAATTCCATTCAGGTAACTTTGTAAAGGGCTCATCTGTGCCGGGTACAGTGGCACACACCTTGTATTGCAGCAGCTCTGGAGGCTGAGGCAGGAGGATCACACGTTCAAAGTCAGCCTCAGCAATGGCAAGGCACTAAGCAACTCAGTGAGACCCTGTCTCTAAATAAAATATTAAAAAATAGGGCTGGGGATGTGGCTCAGTGGTTGAGGACCCCCAAGTTCAATCTCCAGTGCCAAATAATAACAACAACAACGTAAGTGAATAGATAATAACATTACATATCCCAAATAATCACTCAAGCTATTTTTACCAAAATCAAAAAAAAAGGGATGCTCACTATTGCCATTATCATTTCAACATTGTTTTAGAAATTTCAGCTGATGTAATAAACATAAACAAAAGGAAAAAGTTAAGCTGTTCTCATTTTTGTTGATGAAATTGATTTGAAAATCAAAGAATACTAGTGGGAAAAATATTAATGAAAAGCCTTGATAAGTTGGTTGGACACACCATAAAATAAGTAATTTTTGCCATTCTAGAAATTACCAGGTAGAAATGGAAATTGAAAGAAATATTCCACTGACTGTGGAAACTCACATGTAAAAATATTAAGAAAAAAATTTAACAAGCAAAAACACATCTTGGTCAAGTGCATTGTGCATGCCTGTAATCCCAGTGACTTGGGAGGCAGAGGCAAGAGGATCACAACTTTGAGGCCAAAGCTCAGCAATCTTAGTGAGGCCCTAAGCAATTTAGCAAAGACCCCATTTATATAAAATATAAAAAGGCCTGGAGATGTGGCTCAGTGGAAAAGCACCCCTGGGTCCAATCTTTGGTACAAAAAAAAAAAGTGAAGAATATCTGTAGGATTTTATTCAAAAGCATAAAGCAAGATCTAAACAAGTGAAAGGATGCCCAAAGTTCTTGGATATGAAGATTCTATAACACAAATGTGTCTAGTGGGTTGATGCATAACTTTAGTGCAATTTTAAATCACCACAGGATTGAATTATTTTAATAGATAAAATTACCTTAAAGCTCATATAGACAAATGTTTAGGAATATAGTAGAAAACTGTGAGAGGAAAAAAAAAAAGGCAAGAGAGTTTGTCTCACGAGATATTGAAACATACTATGAAACTTGTACAATCCAAACAGTATGGTATTGCCACAGAATAAACAGTAAAAAGCTCAGTTGGTAGGAGCTGGGGTTGTGGCTCGGTGGCAGAGCACTTGCCTCATGGGTATGAGGCCCTGGGTTCGATCCTCAGCACCACATAAAAATAAATAAAGGTACTGGGTCCATCTACAACTAAAAAAATATTATTAAAAAAAAGCTCGGTTGGCAGAGTGCTCGCCTCACATTCACAAGGCCCTGGGTTCCAGCCCCAGCACCACAAAAGAAAAAGAAAAGATAAAAGAGCCAGGAGAGGTCCTGGGGTGAAGGAGGGCTTGTAGGGCTCCAACCCTGCTAGTCAAGTGCTCTGCCACCAAGCTACACCCTCCCCCTAGTCCCTTTATTTTAATATACAACAAAGGTGGAATATAATTCAGATGAAAGACTGGTTTATTTAATCATATACCTGACTATCCACATAACAGAAAATAAACCAGGATCTTTATTATACAAAGTTAAATTTTAAAGTAAATCAAAGACATGGGGGGTGGGGGAGGAGACATGTAAAAACCCTAGAGGAAAATTTAGGAAAACCAATAATGCATAATTTGGGAGCTGACAATTTTAATCAAAAAAAGAAATCCAAAAGCTTAAAAAATAAAAATCACAATCAGACATAGCCTACCACATTTAAAAGAGCAGATTGTGGCATAAAGTTACCAAACAATACAATGTAGACCAAAAAAAAAAAAAAAAGATAAGTTGGGGAAAATAATTTCTTTCTTTTTTTTTTTGTATAAAACATTTAATTTATTGGTCTTTTGAAGGGGAATTTGATACATCACCATTACATTACAACTGAGTCATTAATCTTGTAGCTTCATCAACATTAACTGGTTCATTTTCATGATGCTGAGGACTCAGTTCTTTCTGGAGAGGTTCCAGAGAAAGGCCTCTTGAGAAGTGTGCAAGTTCCTTCTGTATGTTCACAAAAGCTTTATTCACTCGGTTAACTTTTTCATTATTCACAATGTTTATCTTCTTAAGACTAGTAGTAACTGGTTTTGCTTTGTTTTTAGCCTTAAAGTTTTTTTGGCTAGCTATGTGAAATACATTCCGGGACTTCTGCCCTCTTAATTTGTTCTTGCCCATGTTCTCTCACCAGATCTTTGATACCAACGTGCAGCTGCTCAAGCTCCAGGTGACGCCATCTGCAGGCACACAGTTCAGGAAGTTCCGGTGGGAGGATCAGGGAAAATAATTTCTAACATGAATAACTGGTTCTTTTAGAGTTAATGGTATAATCTTGCTGGTTACGTAAGAGTCTAGTGGTAGTGGACTTATGCTTATGATATAGGGATCCCGAGTTAAATGTTTTTTCAATAAGGTTTTTCAAACTTCTATTTCCGTGTGCAGTTTCTCCCCAACCTGCCCCTGCCCCACGTTTCTGTTTCTCCTTCCTTGTTTGGTTTGGGTGTACATGGTGATACCTAGAGAAAAAATGACCACTTTGCACCCAAATCTGGGGAACCTAAGATCACAAAGTGGCATTTCAAGCAATAGCCAGTTCTGCTTTTAACTTTCTTATTGGTCATTTCATTTATCACTATCACTTTGATATAGTTTCCACACGTTTCATCTTGAATTTATATGATGAATGCATCATAATCAATGTCAGTGTGGGGGGACAAGAGCTGGCCAGTCTCTGTTTGAGACATAACTTTATACCCTATCACTCCTGAGTCTAATGGATATTAATAGCCTCATAAATTGATGTCTGAGACTGTGCTTTGAGAAGGATTTGCTCACATTAAGTACAGATTAATGAGTGTCTTCATTTATAGATTTATGAGGTTGAAAAAAATTCAGAGAAGGCTGTGCAAACATTTCTCATATGGTCATTGTTTTCCGGCATTGCGTAAAAGGCAGACCAGGGCAGTCTGAGGATTTTTCTGAAGGTTCCAAGTCAAACTGAATCAGAGAAATTGGGTCTTACCTTTCTTTCTTTGATGTTAATTTCTTCTCTCTTACCCCATCTTCTCCCAGGGTGCAGTACCTCCCAAAGTCCTGTGGGCAGGAGCCTGTGTCATATTACTGTCCTAAAAATACCCAGGGTGGCACCGACCTGCTCCTTCCAGCCCCTCAGAATCCTCAATAGTACACACTCACCTAAAATAATGATGGACGCTTCAGACCACAACAGAGAAATTAAAAGGACATTCTGTTGAGTATTAGATATCAAAAACTGCCATTCTCAGTTTTTACTTCCTGGGAGTTGTAGCCTTGCGACTTCCAAATTCTTATTTTGGTTTTGTTGGGGTAGCGGTGGTTGGTACTCGAAAAGTGCTCATTGCCAGGTACTCGAGGCATACACCTGTAGTCCCAGATGCTCAGGAGGAAAGCTGAGGCAGGAAGATTATCTGAGTTCAAGGCCACCCTGGGCAACTAGTGAGAACCCATCTTTTAAAAATGGAGGGAGGAGGGGGAAAAAGGAGAAGTACTGGAGACTGAAATGGAACATATGATATTATGTGCATTTATAAATATGTCAAAATGAACCCCACTATTATGTATAACTATCATGCACTAATAAAAACATTAAATAAATAAAAGCCAGGCACTGTGGTACACGCCTGTAAACCTAGCAACCCAGGAGGCTGAGTCTGAAGGATCATGAAGCAAGGCCAGCCTCAGCAACTTAGCAAGACCCTGTCTCAAAATAAAAAATGAAAAAGGGGAAATGGAATTAGTAAATCAAAGATCTCCTAACAAAGAAAATCCCTGGACCTGATGGCCTCACTTGTGAATTCTTCAATTCTCAACCTGTTCCAAAAAGCTGAACTCATTCTAGGAAGCCAGTACAATCTTGATATCAAGACAAAGGAGGGCTGGGGATGTGGCTCAAGCGGTAGCACGCTCGCCTGGCATGCGTGTGGCCTGGGTTCGATCCTCAGCACCACATACAAACGAAGATGTTGTGTCCGCCAAGAACTAAGGAAAAAATAAATAAATGTTAAAATTCTCTCTCTCTGTCCCCCTCTCTCTCTCACTCTCTCTTTAAAAAAAAAAAAGACAAAGGAATGATAAGAAAAGGAAACTACGCAGCAACGATATTCCTTATGAACGTGATGCAAAAATCTTCAACGAATACTAGCAAATCAAATCGGCAGTATGTGGAAAAGATTATACAATGTGACCAAGTGGAATTTATTCCTGATTCAATATGTTGAAAACCTATCAGTGTAATATGCCAGTTTAACAAAATAGGGGTGTTCAACCTCCAGGCTGCAAAGACCTCAAGCACACTGTTCAGGATCCCAAAGATAGGACTCCAGGACTCAATGAGAGATTTTAGACAGTTTATTACTTATTCACTGGTGGGCAGTAGTGGGCCAGGATGCCTAGGAGCTGGGGGAATACAGGCTAGGTCACATGTCCACTGCACAGGTGCTTTCCTCAGATGTTTAAAGAGTACATTCCCTTACTTTACAACCAACCTCACTCTTCTAATCCTCTCCCAAGGACTGGGGGAGTGGCCAGCTCCCTCTCCATTTCCCTAGTTACCACATTTTTTTTAGAGACCTTATCTCATCTCAAGGTACATTTTTCCTGGGCACTGGTAAGTGTTTAACCCAACAAGGGGGATAGGGTGGGGAGGGAGAGCTACATGATCACCTCAATTGATGCAGAGAAAATGCTAGACAAAATTCAACACTTTCATAATTAAAAAAATAAAAGGACTCAACAAACTAGGAACAGAAATGAACTATCTCAAAATAATAAAAGCCATATATGAAAAAATCACAGCAAACATTATATTCAATGGTGAAAGACTGAAAGCTTCCCCTCTGAGATTAGATACAGGGCAACAAGGCCCATTTTCCACTTCTATCTGACTAATACTGGAAGTTCTAGCAAAGCAATTAGATAAGAAAAAGAAACAAAAGGCATACAAATTAGAGAGGAAGAAGTAAAATCAACTCTGTTTGTAGATGATCTTTTTTTAAATTTTTTTTAGTTGTAGATAGACATAATATATTTGCTTTTATTTATTAATGTGGTAGCAAGGATCGAAACCGGGGCCTCATGCATGTGAGGCAAATGGTTTACAACTAAGCTATAACCCCAGCTCTAGATATGATCTTATAGTGAGAAAATCCTAAAGATATCAGGCACGGTGGCACACACCTGTAATCCACCCTAAAGATGCCACACTATTAGAACAAATCAATGAATTCAGCAAGGTATCAGGATCAATACACAAAACTCATTTGCATTTCTATACACTAACATTGGACAACATGAAAATGAAATTACAAAAACAATTCTATTTATGACAGTATCAAAAAGAATAAAATTCCTAAGAATTAACTTAGCCAAGAAGATGGAAAACTTATACAATAAAATTGCTGAGAGGCTGGAGGATTAATTCAGTTTTAGAGCACTTGCCTGACACACATGTGGCCCTGGGTTCAACACCCAGCAACACACATACACAAACACACACACACACACACACACACACACACACACACTGAAACAAAGAAGTCACAAATAAATGGAAATACATCCCATATTCATGGATTGGAAGATGTCAATACTATCCAAAGCAATATACAGATTCAACACAATCTCTATCAAATGCCAATTTTTTTTTTCATAAATAGAAAAGCTCATGCTAAAAATTGTAGGGAATCTTTGGGATCATGAATAGCCAAAAGTGAATCTTGAAAAGGAAGTGTGGAGGACTCACATTTCCTGATTTCAAAATCTATTACAAATCAAAAGTAATCAAAACAGCACGGTACGTGTAGACAGACGCACAGACCAAGGGATTGGAATGGAAATCACAGAAATGAATTCTCACAGTATGGTCCATTTTTGACAAGGACACCAAAACCATTCAATGAAAAACAGTCTTTTGAACATGTAGAGCTGGGGAAATTCACACATAGGTGTAAAAGGTTGACATTACCTAACACCACATTCGGAGATTAACTGGGCGGGCATGTAGCTCAGTGGTACAGCACCTGCCTAGCACACCAGAAGCCTTGGGTTCAATCACAAGCACTACCAAAAACAAAAAGAAATTAATTCAAAATGCATCAAAAACCTAAATATAAAATCTAAAACTACAGCCAAGTGTGGTGGCACATGCCTGTTGAAGGGAAAGCAAGGAATGAGAGACCGAGACCAGGCAGAGATACACGAGAGTTGACCTGTCAGAGCTGAAATAAAGGCCATCTGTCTGAAGGTGAGAGAGCAAAACAGGCTTGGGTTCTGGGACTTTTGCAGGGCAGGCTCAGGAATCAGAGCCTGTTGGGTCCTAATGCAGGCATTTAGGGGTTGGGTTGGTAGGAGGGAGTGGTGAGCCTTTCTCAGAAAGACCCTTGAGCAGGAAAGCAAAACTTTTTCCTTAAAATGGTGGCTGTCACTTAAAATGGCCATCCAGATGTTAAGCAAGGACCTTATACATACTGTACCACAATTTTAAAAGTGAGGGTAAAAGGCAAAGAGCCCATTTGTTTTGCATCGCGTTATCCAAGTTTCCAACCACAACCTGGGTTTTGCTCCCTGACCCTCCAAGGCCACCTGGGGAAATATAAAGGGTGTGCAGCACCTTGAGCGCCGTGGGCACTGTACACACTCCGTGTGACTGTGACCTGCCAGGCAGGGGCCTGTCATTCCTGTGTGTGCTGTGTATTGGCTTCTCTATTTCCCCAAGTGTGCTATGGCAACCACCTGGGAGGTTTTGAATAAACACTATTTAATGAATAAATAAGAAACAATAGAATATTTCGAAGTAAATGAGAGCCCAAGAGAATACTCAAATATAACCCCTACTATGGTCTGAGTGGGGTTTATGTGTGTCCTCTGAGGCTTTCTGTACTGGAAGCCTCGTTCCTGGCATTGAGGGGTGGTGTGGGCCCTCTTAAGGTGGAGTTCAGTAGAGGGCAATTAGGTCACTGGGGTCCCTGCCCTTATAATAATGCAGTTCTCCTGGGACCTTAGTCCCTGAGAAAATGAAGACCACTGTTATGAAGGAACAAGAACAAGACTGACACTTCCCCAGGCTCTCTGGCTTCCTGTCTCTCCCCCCCCCATTTCTCCTTCCCACATACATTCTCACTATTGTGATGCCATCTGACCTGAGGTTGTCACCATAACTGAGTTGATGTGCTAGCACTGATGCCCTTGAACCTCCAAAAACGTGAGCTAAATAAACCTCTTTTCTCTATATATTACCCAGCCTCAGGTGTTTTGTTAGTTTGAAATAGTCTATTGTTTCTTATTTATTCCACTGATTAAGACAGTCCCTGGTAATTGCTAAATGCCATGTACTGTGTTTCACTGAGTGCCAGGAACTGTGTTAAGGGTGCATTCCTACTCACAGAGGCCCCTGGACATGATGATAATTATTATTATCATTTTTATTATCATCAGTCTCATCGTAAAGATGAGGAAACAAAAGAGAAATTAAGAGGCTTCCTCAGGCCACACACCTTAGGCAAGTGGCAGAGGTCGGGTGAGAATGGACAGTCTCCAGCTCAAGTCCATGTCTTGGGGGCCATGCTTTGCTGCTCTTCTTCAGAAGAGACCTCAGGAAACTTAAGTTTTATATTTGGGGGTAAGGTAGTCATTTATAGAATTAAACATAGATGTTTTACTAATGAAAAAAAGACACAGAACAACTCCCAGCTTCATCTACAGTGTTGGGTGGCGAGAAGAGCCAGGAGCTGGAACTCCAGCTCAGCCTCTCGGGAGCTGTGAGGCCTTGGGCGAAATGGTGAGCATCTCTGAGCAACAGCTTGTTTAAATGGGTACTCCCTCTGGAACCAAGGAAATGCAAGAAGTCATTTCAGTCCAACGTCAGACTCATAATGTCAAGATGTCATATGTAAACATCCAACAAGAGTATCACAAACTATGTGCTCAACAAACGGTCAAATATTTATTTTATTTTAAAAAGTAGTGAAGACATTATGAAACTCGACAACGTGAAAATCATATGTATTGTTATTTGAGAGGAAAAAAATTAGAAAGGTATGTATACTGATTTTCTCACCTTTCACGCTAGAGACCCATTAATATCACTTAAAGCTGATTAAACAAGCAATAAATGTATTAAAATATTTGACTGTACAAAGGAACGATAATTAAACCGGACACAGAGGAGGGGAGGGACCTGGAAAAAGAAAAGTATATTGACCACATTATTTCTCAAAAAAAGAAATCAACAGAAGAAACAGAGTCAAGCCTATAATAGAAATCATACTTATTGTAACAGAAACCACTCGTAACAAACTTGAGATATTCCATATTATCAGAAAAAAAAAAACAAAGGTTGGGGGCTGGGGCTCAGCAGTAGAGCACTCACCTAGCATGTGCAAGAGGCTGGGTTCTATCCTCAGCACCACATAAAAATAAATTTAAAAAATAAAGGTATTGTATCCAACTACAACTAAAAAAGTATTTTAAAAAATACACAAAGGAAAGCATGGACCACATAATGAGAGTATTTTAAGTTATAAAATAAAAAGCATTAAAAAAGAGAAAAATAGCTGTCATATAAATAAAAGAAAATAAATTAAGCTCACTTTTTTTTTTTTTTCTGGTACCAGGGAATGAATTCAAGGGCATTCAATCACTGAGCCTGACCCTTTTTTGTATTTTATTTAGAGACAGGGTCTCGGGGCTGGGGATGTGGCTCAAGTGGTAGCGCGATCACTTGGCGTGCGTGCGGCCCAGGTTCGATCCTCAGCACCACATTCAAACAAAGATGTTGTGTCCGCCGATAACTGAAAAATAAATATTGAAATTCTCTCTCTCTCCTCTCCCTCTCTCATTCTCTCTTTAAAAAAAAAAAATAGAGACAGGGTCTCACTGAGTTGCTTAGGACCTCACTAAATTGCTGAGGCTGGCTTTGAACTTGGGATCCTCCTCCTCAGCTTCCCGAGCCACTGGAATTACAGACGCATGCCATGGTGCCCAGTGAGTTTACTTATTTTTATAAAAGACTTTAGGCTAGGCGCAGTGGCAGTGGCAGTGACTGTGATCCCAGAGACTCAGGAGGCTGAGGCGAGCCTTGGCCACTTATGAGACATTGTCTCAAAATAAAAAATAAAAAGGCCTGGGGATATGACTCAGTCCTCAGTACCACAAATAATAATAATGGTAATAGTACATACATATGTACATACATAAGACTTTAGGGGCAGGGAGCAGTGGTACAGTCATGTAATCCTAGGAACTCAGAAGGCTGAGGCAGGAGGATTACAAGTTCAAGGGCAGCCTCCACAGCTCAGGGAGACCCCATCTCAAAAAAAAAAAAACAAGAGGGCTGGAGAGGTGGCTCAGTGGTACAGCACCCCTGGGTTCAATCCCCCATACCAAAATAAATAAATAAATAATGCCGTGATGCTTATTAATTACAAAGACCAAAATAATACTGTAACCACACAGCCGAGGGGTTGGTAGATGCACCCTTAACCAAGCAGCACCACAGGTCATGATCCTGGACCTCACCCTCAGATGTGCAGAGAAGGGCCCACTATGCTTCTGGAGAGTTTTAGACAGAAGTTTATTACCTGAACCTAATCATAAGCAAATACAGGACACAAGCAAATGGAAGGACAACTTACAAGATAGCCAACAACTGCTCTTCCCTGTGTCAAGGTCACGAAAGACAAAGAAATACTGAGCAACTGTCCAGATTAAGATGATGGAAAGTGGGAATGTTTTTGTTAAAAAGGGAGAAAATAAAGAATGAGGACCTCTGTGTACTAAAGTGTAACTATCCTTGAAATATGTCACTAGGTTAAAAATGTGCAAAAGTCAGTGGGGTCAACTGTCAGCGCAGCTTGGCTACCCTGGAGGCTGGGCCAAGAGAATCGTGGGGCAATTTAGCCAGACCCTGGCTGGGGACGGAGCTCAGTGGTAGAGCATCTCTGGGTTCAATTCCCAGCATTTGGGGAAAGGGGAGATTTTTTTTTTTTTTTAACAAAATCAAGTGCAAAACAAGAGTGTCTTGGTCCATTTTTCTCTTGCTAATAGCACAACACTAAAGACTAGCATGTTATAAAGAAAAAATGCTATCCTGGCTCATGGTTCTGGTCCAAGGCCAAGGAAGCTTGTCTAATGACGGCCTCACTTGCTGGCAGAGTCCAGCTCAGACCATCGCTTGGCAGAGACGCAGCCAAACTGGCTTTAAGGGGACCCAGTGCACATTTAACCTATTAGCCCATCAGTTCATTAATCTATATCAAATGAATGGAATAATCCATTCATGAGGACAGAGCCCTGATCACCTTGAAGGGGATCAAATTTCAACATGAGTATAAAACCCCAGCATTCAGTGTATACAGGAGGCTATAATTTATGTGGAAATATAGGCTGGGGGAAGAAGGATCTATTGAGAAATGCATGTTACAGAACTAACACATGTATCAGGCACAGTGGTGCATACCTGAAATCCTAGCAGCTTGGGAGGCTGAGGCAGGAGGATCACAAGCTCAAAGCCGACTTCAGCAACTTAGCAAGGCCCTAAATAACTCCAGTGAGACTCTGTCTCAGAATAAAATTTTAAAAGGTATGGGGTTCAATCACTGGTATCAAAAAAAAAAAAAAGAAAGAAAGAAAGAAAAAAAGAACTGACATGGGCTGGGGATGTGGCTCAAGCGGTAGCGCGCTCGCCTGGCATGCGTGCGGCCCGGGTTCAATCCTCAGCACCACATACAAACAAAGATGTTGTGTCCGCTGAGAACTAAAAAATAAATATTAAAAATTCTCTCTCTCTCTCTCTCTCTCTCTCTCTCTCTCTCTCTCTCTCTCTCTCTCTCTCTCTCTTTAAAAAAAAAAAAAAACTGACATGTAACCTTGCTCCTAGGGATGAAAACGAAGGTCTTTTATCTTTATACCTTTTGAGGTTTTTTTTTTTAAGAATTTAACTTTTTTTTTTTTTTTTGTGGTGCTGGGGATTGAACCCAGGGCCTTGTGCATGCAAGGCATGCACTCTACCAACTGAGCTACATCCTCAGCTCAAGAATTTGTTTTATTTATTTATTTTTAAT